GGGTTTTGCCATGTTGGCCAGGCTGGTCTCGAACTCCTAGGCTCAAGTGATCCACCTGTCTTGGACTCACAAAGTGCTGGGATTACGGGCATGAGCCACCCCGCCCAGCCACAAAAAAAAAAAAAAAATTTTTTTGAGATGGCATCTCTGTTGCCCAGGCTGGAGTGCAGTGGCACGATCTCAGCTCACTGCAACCTCCACCTTCCGGATTCAAGTGATTCTCCTGCCTCAGCCTCCCAAGTAGCTGGGATTACAGGGATGCACCACCACATCCGGCTAATTTTTGTTTTTTTAGTAGAGACGTAGTTTCTCCATATTGGCCAAGCTGGTCTCAAACTCCTGACCTCAGGTGATCTGCCTGCCTCAGCCTCCCAAAGGGCTAGAATTATAGGCGTGAGCCACTGCATCCCACCCCAATTTTTTTTTTAAAGGCTTCATGGTGAAGGCTGCTGGGGACCCAGGCATCCCAGTTTTCTGTCTTTCATGGACAAGGCTTGGGGGAAACTTGTACCCTCTTCCCCAGGAAATCAGCACGCCTCAGAGCCCGCCCCGCCTCTCTCACTGAGCTGCTTTTCCAATTGATTCTCTTCCCTCTGCAGGGGCCGGGGCTGGAGTCGGAGTTGGAGGCATTCCTACTTTTGGGGTTGGACCCGGGGGCTTTCCCGGCTATGGTGTCGGAGTCGGAGGCGTCCCTGGAGTCGGAGTCGTCCCGGGAGCTGCCATTTCCCGTGAGCCTTAGTCACATCTGGGGACATCGTTGAGAAGGGATGGGGGCTTCTCTTCTGCTGGGCTGTACACGGTCAGTGGAGAGCGTAGATCAGGCTTGAGCGTGCTCAGGGAGGGGTTGGGGGAGAGGATAGGGCGGCCGTCCATGCCTTGCAGGGCAGAAGAGCTTTAAGCACGGTGCGGAGGAGACCCAGGCAAGGCTTCTGAGGGTCTCCATCTTTCTCGTTTCCCTGCAGCTGAAGCCCAGGCAGCAGCTGCCGCCAAAGCTGCTAAGTATGGTAAGTGCCCCTGCCCTGCCCGTCCCTAAGCCCTGCTCTCCCACGGGGCCCAGGGTCCAACCTCAGGGCAAACCGGCTCCCACGCCTCCAGGACCAGAATGGCCTGGGCCAAGGTCATGAGGCCCCCGCCCCATCTTCCAAAGCCACACTTCATTCTACTGTCCTTTTCAGATGCCCAACGTTAGGATGGTTGGTGACCTGTTCACCCCACCCCCACCCCCAGAATTGAAGGTGTCCTGGCCGGGTGCAGTGGCTCACACCTGTAATCCCAGCACTTTGGGAGGCCAAGGCGGATGGATCCCTTTAGGCCAGGAGTTCGAGACCAGCCTGGCGAACACGGTGAAACCCCGTCTCTACTAAAAATACCAAAATTAGCCAGGCATGGTGGTGCTCATCTGTAATCCCAGCTACTTGGGAGGCTGAGGCAGGAGAATCGCTTGAACCCGGGAGGCAGAGGTTGCGGTGTGCTGAGATCATGCCACTGCACTCCAGCCTGGGCGGCAAGGCAAGACTCCGTCTCAAAAAATTAAAATAAAATATAAAAAGAATTGAAGGTGCCAAGAAGCCATTCTCTTTTCCCCCTATTCTCCCACTCACCCTTGCTCCCCCAAAAAGTGAGCACTGGGTGGGGCGAGGCTGAAAGTTCTCCACTCACGCAGGTGCTGGGGGCGCAGGAGTGCTGGGTGGGCTGGTGCCAGGTGCCGGAGTCGCCGTCCCTGGTGTGCCAGGAGTCGGAGGAGTGCCAGGTGAGCGGTGTCTCCAGCCCAGAGACGGGTTTGGTTTGTCTCGTGGAAGGGTCCCTGGAGTTGACCAAGATCGACTGCACCATTTTACAAACAGGAAGACTAACCTAGAGGCGGGAAGCAGGGAGGGGTGCTCAGACCGCTCCCTCATCCCTCCTCTTCCCGCCCCCAGGAGTCGGGACCCCAGCAGCTGCCGCCGCCGCTAAAGCAGCCGCCAAAGCTGCCCAGTTTGGTGAGTCCCTTTACCCCCGCCATCGCTCACAGATCACTGCTCTCTCAGGTGCCCTGCTCTGGGGTCTCACTGCCCAGCTCCCTGTTCCTTTCCACCACCCCCTGCCGCCCCAGGCTGTCACATTCTGGGGTGGGCTCTCCTTCGGGCTTTTGGCCCACCAACAACCTCTAGCAGTGGTGGTGACGTTTCTGATGAGGGAAGCAGTGTAAGCCTCCCTGTTCCCAAAGGCCCGGGAGCCCCTCGGTCTAGTGGGGACCTGACCCCTCCTGACCTCACGTGAGCTCCAGCCGCCTTGAGGGAGTCCAGTTCTTCTCCTTCTCCTCTTTCTCATTCTTCTTCTTTCTTCTCCTCCTTCTCCTTCTTCTTCCTTCCTTCCTCCTCCTCCTCCTGCTTCCTTCTTCTTCCTCCTCCCCCTCCCTCCTCCTCCTCTTCTTTTTCTTCCATTTTCTTTCTTCTTCTTTCTTCTCCTCCTTCTCCTTCTTCTTCCTTCCTTCCTCCTCCTCCTCCTGCTTCCTTCTTCTTCCTCCTCCCCCTCCCTCCTCCTCCTCTTCTTTTTCTTCCATTTTCTTTCTTCTTCTTTCTTCTCCTCCTACTCCTTCTCCTTCTTCTTCTTGAGATAAGGTGTGGCTCTGTCACCCAGGCTGGGGTACAGTGGCACAATCATCTAGCTAACTGCAGCCTCGACCTCCCAGGCTCAAGCAATCTGCCTGCCTCAGCCTCCCAAGTAGCTGGGGCCACAGGTGCCCACCACCATTCCTGGCTAATTTTTTTATTGTTTTGTAGAGACAGGGGTCTTACTATGTTGCCCGGGCTGGTTTCAAACTCCTGGGCTCAAGTGCTCCTCCAGCCTCTGCCTCCCACAGTGCTGGGATCCGGGCGTAAGCCCCTGCGCCCAGTCTGCAGTACTTCTGGTTCAAGATCTCTTGCTATATCTGAGGGCCACCCTGGCAGCCCCAGGTGCCTACAACTTTCTCAACCTGGCAAATATGGCAGCACCAATTGTAGAGCCCAGCTGTGTGTCAGGCCCTGGGCATGGGGTCTGCAGGCCTTGGTCTTAGGGACCTGTGAGCTGAAAGGTTCAGATCAGAATCTCTAAGGCTGAATAGTCCAGAGAACATTTCAACTGCAGGTCTGCAGAGCCCGAAATTCTCACACACAGCAATCTTTATTTATTTGAGACAGGGTCTCACTTCATCGCCCAGGCTATGATGCCATCATAGCTCACTGCAGGCCTGGAACTCCTGGCTTAAGCAAGTCTTCCCTCTTAGCATCCCTAGTAGCTGAGGCTACAGGCACGTGCCACCATGCCCAGTTTAAAAAAAAAAAAATTGTAGGTGATCCTTACACGTTGGCCTCTCAAAGTGCTGGGATGGCAGGCGTGAGCCACCGCACCAGGCCTACAAACGATCTTATAGAATTGGTTTTATTTTTCCCATTTTACAGGTGTGGAGACTGAGGTTCCCAGAGCTTAAGTAGCTTGCCTACAGTTGCACAGCATAATGGTGCCCGAGCCGAGATTTGAACACAAAGGCTTTCTGTCTTACAAACCCCCTTATATAATGTAACTCTGCCTCTATCACCCTCCAATCTCCAAGGAGTCCTTGTCACTGAAAAGATTAAGAACTCCTGGCTGGGTGCAGTGGCTCACGCCTCTAATCCCAGCAGGTTGGGAGGCCAAGGCAGGTGGATCACCCAAGGTTAGGAGTTCAAGACCAGCATGACCAACATGGCAAAGCCCTATCTCTACTAAAAATACAAAAAAATTAGCCAGGTGTGATAGTGAGCACCTGTAGTCCCAGCTACTCGGGAGGCTGAGGCAGGAGAATCACTTGAACCCGGGAGGTGGTGGTTGCAGTGAGCTGAGATTGTACCACTGCACTCCAGCCTGGGCGACAGTGAGATCCCGTCTCCAAAAAAGGAACTCCTGAACCTGCACAGGCTTCATCTTAAGGGTGAGGAAGCTGAGGCCCAGCAAGCGAAAGTAACTGATCAGGGTCACACAGCGAGTCTCCGCCAGGCCGAGGCTCCAGCTCTTTTCATCAGCTCTGCTCTCTTGCATCAGGCTCTTCTCCATCTTACAGGCTTAGTTCCTGGTGCCGGCGTGGTTCCTGGTGTGGCTCCCGGAGTGGGCGTGGCTCCCGGAGTGGGCGTGGCTCCCGGAGTAGGCGTGGCTCCCGGAGTGGGCGTGGCTCCCGGAGTGGGCGTGGTTCCCGGAGTGGGTGTGGCTCCCGGAGTGGGCGTGGCTCCCGGAGTGGGCGTGGCTCCCGGAGTAGGTGTGGCTCCCGGAGTGGGCGTGGCTCCCGGAGTGGGCGTGGCTCCCGGAGTGGGCGTGGCTCCCGGAGTGGGCGTGGTACCTGGTGTGGGCATCGGCCCTGGTGGAGTTATAGGTGAGCTGCATGAGTCCATGACCCTGAGGGGCCCCTGAAGCCTCCTTGGGCCCCATCTCCATCTCTAATGCCCTCTCTCTCCCTCCAGGTGCAGGAGCCCCAGCTGCAGCAAAATCCGCTGCCAAGGCAGCTGCCAAAGCCCAGCTCCGTGAGTGCCTCGCCCACCTTTCTCTCCTCTCCCCAACGAGCCCAAGGCTGGTTAGGGGCAAGGGCCAGGGAGGAGGCCACTGCTTGGATCTGGGCGCCTTCCTTTGGGACTGGGCTCAGCTCCCTGGACAGGACCCCTCCTTGGGGCATGCTCCCTGCCTTCTGTCACCACCACTGCCCTCTGTCCTTGGGAACCCAGCTCCCAAGCCCGAATGGGACCCAGGGCAGGGCCCTGCAGCCTCCTTAGATCCCCAGGGCAGTGGGCAGAGGAGTCAGAAGCGCAGATTTGGCTTGAGGAGGACCTGGGTTCAAGTCCTGGGCTCCACACTAGCTAAGGGACCTCTGAGTGACTGTGTCCTTGCGTGTTAAGTGTGGGTACAGACAGCACCTTCCACAGAAGGCTTTTAGGAGAATTAAACAACATCAACCAAGAGAGAAGAACAGGGGATCAGGCTGGAAAGGGAAGTGGCACCCACAGCGTGTGGTCCCAAATGCCAGCCAGCACGAATAGAGGGTCAGTGGGAGTTTTACAAAATCCAATCCCAGGCTGGGCATGTGGCCACACCTGTAATCCCAGCACTTTGGGAGGCTAAGGCGGGCGGATCGCCTGAGGTCGGGAGTTCGAGAGCAGCCTGACCAACATGGAGAAACCCCGTCTCTACTAAAAATACAAAAGTAGCTGGGCGTGGTAGCCTACTCAGGAGGCTGAGGCACGAGAATCACTTAAACCCAGGAGGCAGAGGTTGTGGTGAGCCAAGATCGCGCCATTGCAGTCCAGCCTGGGCAACAAGAGCGAAACTCCATCTCATAAATAATAATAATAAAATTAGCCAGGCATGGTGGCACACACCCATAGTGTGCGTCAGCTACTCGGGAGGCTGAGGGAGGATTGCTTGAGCCTGGGAGTTTGAGGCTTCAGTGAGTCACGATTGTGCCACTGCACTCCAGCCTGCTCAGCAGAGCAAGACCCTGTCTCAAAAGAGAGAGAGAGAGAGAGCAAAGAAAAACCAGCCAGCGGCTGCATAGAAGATGGATTAAGCAGGCCAAGTCTGAAGAGAGGGCCAGAGAGGAAGCCGCTGCTTGGATCTGGGTGGGCCCCTTCCTTTGGGACTGGGTGCAGCTCCCTGGACAGGACACCTCCCTAGGGACGCGCTCCCTGCCTGCTGTCACCACCACTGCCCTCTGTCTGCAGGAGCTGCAGCTGGGCTTGGTGTTGGCGTCCCTGGATTTGGAGTTGGTGCTGGTGTGCCTGGACTTGGAGTTGGTGCTGGTGTGCCTGGCTTCGGGGCAGGTGAGGGTGAGGGAGCTTCTAGGAACTAGGCAGAGCCTGCCCCCTGAGCTCAGGGAAGGCAATCCCTCCTCCTCCCAGCACCTCCCCAGCACCCCCTCACCGGGGTGCATAGTAAATTCTTCATTAGGTTCTCCTAAGCATCTGGGGGTAACAGAAGGCAGAAAGAGGGAAGACCAGGCAAAGGGACCCCAGGCTGCCAAATTGCAGAGTATCTGCCTCTTCAGTAGAGGGGTGATGGGGTTCCAGACTGAGAAACAGCCTGCCCTCCACCCAGGGAAGGAGCAGGTAGATGAGCCTGACTCCCCTTCAGCAGTGGTCTGTGGCCAGGGGGCCACTAGGAATTCCAGTTCTTCACCAGGTGGTTACTGAGCACCGCTCTGTGCCCAGCCTCAAGCAGGCCATGCTGGGCCTGGGGAGAGAAGGAGGGAGCAGATGGAAGGCGGAGGCACCGTCCTACCCTAGAGCTCTGTGCCTGCACAGCTTCAAGGATTTGAGAAAGCAATGGAGGCCAAGGAAATCAGAGAGGGCTCCCTAGAGGAAGCGGCAGAACTCCCAGACACAGAGCTCGGCTGCTGACCAGCCCCCTACTTTTCTTTCTCCCCAGTACCTGGACCCCTGGCCGCTGCTAAAGCAGCCAAATATGGTGAGTGCACCCCACAACCTCTTGTGGTTCCCTTGCCACCCCGCCATCTCCGACAGCACAGGACAGGGGTTGACATGATAGAAAAAGGCAGTTTCAGGCTGGGCACAGTGGCTGCCATCCCAGCACTTTGGGAGGCTGAGGCAGGGAGATCACTTGAGGCCAGGAGTTCGAGACCAGCCTGGCCAACATGGTGAAAACCCGTCTCTGCTAAAAATACAAAAATAAGCCAGACGTGGTGGTGGGTGGGCACCTGTAATTCCAGCTGCTTGGGAGGCTGAGGCAGGAGAATCACTTGGACCCAGGAGATGGAGGCTGCAGTGAGCCGAGACCATGCCACTGCACTCCAGCCTGGACAACAGAGCGAGATGAAAGAGAGAAACAGAGAGAGAGAGGAAGGAAGGAAGGGAGGGAGGGAGGGAGGGAGGGAGGAAGGGAAGAAAGGAAGGAAAGAAAAGGAAGAAAAGGAGGGAGGAAGGGAGGGAAGACAGGAAGGAAAGAGAGAGAGGGAGAAAAGAAAAAGGCACGTCCTAGGACACATGTATGACAGTTTAAAAACCTGGCCCCTGCCTGCTAAATGTCTGTGGTGCCTTCAACTCCTGTGACCACCAAAACCACCCTCAGAATCCCAGTTGCTCCCCAGGAGGCGATTCCACCGGCCCTAAGGGCCCTCAGACTCTGACAGTTTCATGATGCCCCGGGCCAGGGAGGGGCCGGGCCCGCTGTGGGTATGAGGAGGCCGGGCAGTCTCTGCCTCCACCCAGCTCTCTGGCCCTAGCAGAGAGCCTGTTCCTCATCTGGGCATCCCTGGCCCCCGCCCACCTTCCCATCCTGCCAGCAAGACTGCTCCTGCCGTAAACCAGCCCAGAGGACGTGGCAGTCCCACAGCCTCTGCACTTGGCACTCTGGCAGCCCTGCCTGGCCAGACTCACGCTGTCTGTGGCCTCTGCATTCCTGGCCTCCTGTGAGCAGAGTTGGGGGGAGGCAGGGGACTCCACCAGCGATCCACCAATCGGCCGGGCAGGTCCACTTGGGGCCAGTTTCCACCTCGGAAAATCCCGGCTTCCTCAGCCCGGACCCCCAGCGGCCCCGGCCTCCTCCCCTCTTCACTGCTGACTGCTTGGCCGGGCTGAGTCAACAGACATTGCCAGGGAAACAGAGGGGTGTCATGTGGTGAGCAGAGCCACTTCCCAGCCTGGAAGCCCTGAGCACATTGCTTAACCTCTGCTCTGCCTCGGCGTTCTCATCTGTAAAATGGGAATGACAAGAGCGCCTGCCTTTCTTGCTGCAGTGCGTAAAAAATGGGCTGCTAAGTGTGAAGCACTCAGAACCTTAAGTGCCTGCTGTAGATACTGCCGCTGCTTTTTTTTTTTTTTTTTTTTTTGCTGGAGTCTCGCTCTCTGTCGCCCAGGCTGGAGTGCAGTGCTTCGATCTCGGCTCACTGCAGCCTCCACCTCCTGGGTTCATGCGATTCTCCAGCCTTGGCCTTCAAGCTGGGATTACAGGCTCCCACCACCCTGCCCAGCTAATTTTTGTATTTTTTAGTAGAGACGAGGTTTTCATCATGTTGATCAGCCTGGTCTCGAACTCCCGACCTCAGGTGATCCACTGGCCTCGGCCTCTCAAAGTGCTGGGATTACAGGCATGAGCCACCACACTCGGCCTTCAAAAGAACTTTTAAGTCCAAGCACAGTCCTTTGGGAGGCTAAGGCGAGAGGATCGAGTGAGCCCAGGATTGGGAGGCTGCAGTGAGCTATGAGTACCACTGCACTCCCGCTTGGGCGACAGAGCAAGACCCCATCCCCAAACGAAACCAAAACAAGGACTGGACTTCTGTCCAGAGCTCCTCCACTGTGTCACATGGCCCTGTCACCTGTCTGCTTGCCCTGTGTCCCTGGGGCAGGGACACCCCATCCTTCAGAAATGGGGGACTCATCTTTCCTCCTTCCCCACAGGAGCAGGAGTACCCGGGGCCCTTGGAGGGGTCGGGGCTCTCGGTGGTGTGGTGGGTGAGTTGAAACGCCGGGACGGGCTAGGTGGGGAGGGAGGCTAACCTGGACAGAGTCCCTCCCTGAACTTGATCTGTGTCCCCAGGAGCCGGACCCGCTGCCGCTGCGGCTGCAGCCAAAGCCGCTGCCAAAGCTGCCCAGTTTGGTGAGTGCTGGGTGGGGGTGGAGCTGCCCCTGGCCCCCTCCAAGGTCCCCAGGATGTGGGAGTAGCTGCCGACCAGGCACTATAGACTCAGACTCCGTGCCCCAGGCACCTCCTGGCCCCATAGAAGGCCGGGAGAGCTCAGGCTCCACCTGGGTCCCCAGAGGACACCTCCACCCTCCGCAGGCTGAGCTTCAGTCCCCACTTTCTGTCCAGTGGAGTCTAATGCTCAGCTCTCTCCACAGGCCTGCCGGGAGCTGCTGGACTCGGAGTTGGAGGGCTTGGAGTCGTCCCAGGTGTTGGGGGCCTTGGAGGTGAGCATTGTTCAGAAATCAGTGAGTACGTGCGGGGTGTGTGTGTGTGTGTGTGTGTGTGTGTGTGTGTGTGTGAGAGAGAGAGAGAGAGAGACAGACACAGATGGAGACAGAGTCTTTCTTTCCCAGCCTTGCCACACCCTTGCTCAAGATGTCCCTCTCCGCCAGGCGCAGCGGCTCACGCCTGCAATCCCAGCACCCTAGTAGGCCCAGGCGGGTGGATCACTTGAGGTCAGGAGTTTGAGACCAGCCTGGGTGACAAGGCGAAACCTCATCTCTACCAAAAATGCAAAAATTAGCAGGGCTTGGTGGGAGGCTGAGGCCAGAGGATCACTTGAGCCCAGGAGACGGAGGCTGCAATGAGCTGAGATTGTGCCACTGCACTCCAGCCTGGGCAGCAAAGTGAGACCCTGTCATTAAAAA